CTAGTAAGGCACCTGTTACTACTAGCGTGGCACTTGTTCCTAGTAGCGAACCTTGTTCCGAGGCCTTCGTTTGGTCCAAAGAGAAGAACTTGATTCGACCGAGCGCTCGACCAGTTCCCCGAGAGCTGCCAAGCCCTCTCAAGGAAAAACGAAGAAAGAATCTGAAAGAACAAGGCTTCCGACCTTGTAGCTTCTAGTACCTTATTGTTTCTAATAGCAAACATTGTTACTACTAGTAAGGCACTTGTTACTAGTAGCTTTTTGTTTCTAAGATTGTATTCATTTGGAACAACACAGTGTCTGATAGTGCATGTGTGATTCGTGTGTGCTTTGCTGCTTTCTTCTTGTCGAACATGTTCCATACTGTCAATGTGAACTCTGTGAACTTCCTATCTTTTCATCATATTTTGGAAGCGACCAAGTGAAAGGACGTTACCACGTGAATATTGGCTTCCGGTTTTCAGCATCACTAGCTATCAGAAAGTGCGAAGGGGGCATTGTTGGCAAAATCCATGTGCGCTTAAAGTTGACCTCTCCACCGTCACCGCTCGTCCCGTTTTTTCGAGACCATGCAAACGATGTTCTCTCCGGGGTGACATGAGATATTCGCAGAGGCCACCATCTTGCGAAGCAATTTCCAAACGAAGCACATCTGCAGTGTCTCATTTACTCAATCTCCAGAGCAGAAACCTACGTCAGCAAAGAGCCCGGCAAGAAACATCCACCTGTCTAGTTTTCAATTGAAGAACCTGATAGCCCCCACATGAGCAATTAGCTGCTGTTACACGGCTTAGAAGCAGAAGAGAAAATGTCGGGAGAGAATAATAGGAAAGAAGAGGCGAAGTGAGTTGAGAGCAGTGTATGAGCGCGCGTTTGTTTGTGTGTATTTACACCAGTGGCTGTGTGAAAGTCAAAGGGGACTGAGTTGAGAAAACACACATGTGTTCGAACATGGGCCTCAAAACACACGAAGGTATTTTAAAACACGCAAGTACATCGAACTCGGTGTGCTAACAGAATTGTATGTAGAATGGTGGGAACGGTGGGAAACATGGAGTTGCATAAATTCACTACCTGATGCTGGGCGCTTTCCCTCTCAAAAAAGACTTGAAAAGTCTGGTCAGATGCCACAGAACGGCTCAAAAACATGTTCCATGCTTCAGCCTGGGTCTCATACAAATCAAAATGCTACACATAGCAATAACATTCTCCTGAGAAATGGTTGAAGTTGTGACCCTTCTAAACACCAAGAAAGGACCCTAGAGCACAGAGATGCACCACTCCAAGAGGCAACGCAAATTAAGTTTCTTGCACAGAGGTGCATGGGGGGAGCCATTCTCCTCGGAACCCCTATTTTTCCGGCATTTTGTTCAGGTTGTTTCCGGAATTTTTTTCGCGTTTTTGCCCCTACTGCTTTTGGTTTTTGTTTTTGCTTTTGCTTCTGCTTTTCCTTTTGCTTTTGCTTTTGCTTTTTGCTTCTGCTTCTGCATTTGCATTTTTGCTTCTGCCTTTGCTTTTGCTTCTGCTTCTGCTGACTATCTTCTTTGCATTGACACTGCCACAAAGTTGGATGATAAGACCTTCACCTTGAGCTTTGACACCCAATTACACCAATCAAAGAAACGAAGCAGCCCAGCGCCGTCTATATTTGCACTGCGGGGGAGGCGCTGCGCCCTCCCCCGCACCCCCTCCCGCTCTTTTTTTTAATAGTTGCCACTACCCGTCCACCACGCCTACTATTTCCAATACCTCTATCACTCGGACCACCCCGCTAAGAAACTTTGCGTTGACGCTGCCACAAAAGTGGATTTCTACTTTGCTTAGCCCAAAGAAACCCGAAGCCACTGAAACCCAAAGACAACCGCAGAAAAGTCCCTATTATAGTTCCTCTCTCCTCTTTCCTCACTCCTACTTCTCCTTCGTTAAGTGGGACGCCTTTCCAGAAGAAAGCCTAAAGAAACCGAGCCCAAAGAAACCCGAAACCAGTGAAGCTAAAGACAACCGCAAAGAAGCCCCTAGTAAGTGGAATACCTTTTCTGTTCCCTCCCTTTGTCACTGTCACGCTGGCTTTGGCGCTTCGTCCCCTGCCCTTTCTGCTGCTCCTAGTGCTTGTAAAGCACCCCCAGCAGAAGCAAAAGCAAAAACAGTAGGTGAAAAAACGTTAAAAATACCGAAATAAATATCCATCCATTCTCCTCATCCTAAAGTTTCACATTAAAACATGGGATAGCAAAGGTTGGAAACCACTGCTCCAGCAATTTGTTGGGCAGCAAAGGATGGAAAAGTTGGGCAACCTTCTGCTTTTGTCGGACTTTGCACAGCAAAGGTGGCTGTGACATCCCGGTTGTGCGCGCAAAGGTCTCTCCAGCCTCGCTAACTCTCACGCGCTTAAAAACTTGTGTTTGGTCGCATCCTGACGGTTGCAGTGACCGGGACCGTTTGAAATGCTGGGAAGAGAAAGGAAGCTCGCAAAGCCAAATGCATTGCAGTCCCGAAAACGCATTGCGTTATGACTTATACAAAATTGACGGGCAAGGCCTGGTGTTGATGTACGGGTAGGAACAAGAACGCTACTAGGAACAAAGGGCATCGCTCCTAGGAGCAAAGGGCATCGCTACTAGGAACAAAAAGCTAGTAGCAACAAGAATTAGTAAGTAATGATACTAATGCAAAGACCGGATTAATAAATCCCCCCACATGGTAGGTCAACAAGGTCAAGATGATATGAGATACCGCTCATGAGGTCCACTCCCCCTGAAGTATCGGCTCAGGGAGCCATCGTAGTCGCAGTCGTCGTTGGTAGTAGGTAGTACGTAGTAGATAGTAGGTCGTAGGTAGTGGGTAGTAGGTAGTAGTAGGTAGTCGGTAGTAGGTAGTAGTAGGTAGTAGGTAGTGCTAGTGGTAACTGGTAGCAGTAGTAGTGGTGGTAGTAGTAGTAGTAGTAATAATAGTAGTAGTAGTAGTAGGAGCAGCAGCAGCAGTAGTAGTAGTGGTAGTGGTAGTCGCAGTAGCAGCAGCAGTAGTGGTAGTAGTAGTTACAACAAGTTTAAACAAGCACAAAGAAAAGGCCAGGGACACATGATCAAATTAATAGGGGGTAGTAGTGCAGATTATTGATGGGGGACCGGCCCTTGTGAGGGGTACCCTTTGTGAGCTTGTCAAATGATTGGTTTTAGTTGCTTTTTAATAAGGGCAATTTATAGTGAGCCCTAGACATTTTCAAGGATTTCATCAAACATGTAGTAGGTGGTGATGGCGGTGGTGGTCGTGGTAGTAGCAGTAGCAGAGCAGCAGCAGCAGCAATAGCTAGTAGCAGTAGGAGTAGCAGTAGCAGTAGTAGCAGTAGTAGTAGTAGTAATACGAAAAATTGACCTGGTTGTGGGCTCGGATTAACTGGGGGGGATTGTTGGTAGAAAACCAGACCACAGGGGGGGGAAATCAACAGCCAATAATATTTTTAATTTGGGCAATTTCCGGCGGCTTTGTGGGCTCGGGTTGACTAGGGGTGATTTATTAATCCGGACTTTGCATTAATGAGAATTGAGCTAAATAGCAAAGGGATCTACTAGGACCTTTTCCACAAGCCCCACAAGGTAAGAAGATGCATTTACATTGCGCCGCATTGGGAGCCATATTGGCAGCCACGGTTTATATATGTTTCATGTGGCATGGCAGACGCACATGCCTTTACCATCACGCAATTGCAAACAGATACAGCGAGAAAACAGCGAGAAAGCGCAATTAACGCGCCCAAAAAATATGCCGAGAAAACGCAGCGCCCAAACAGGTGGAAGAGATATCAACATCAACATGTGAGCGTCAAGTACATGTACTTCAGAAATAGCAAGTAAAATGAAAGCAACATGCACGCAGATAAGTAGAAAATTTATAGAATGTAAAAAAAGCATGTGTGCTGCATGTGCGTATGGAAGAAGAGTGATGCAAACGGTTTCTCCTAACGCAGGGGTGTCCGGAATAGGTATCGTTTGGAAGGGTGAGGCCGGAATAGGGTGGGGGAACGGAAAAAAGGGCTGGTCCAATTGTCTCGTTTTTGGAGACACCCACGATGTCAATAATGCAGTCTCCCCCGGCTGGCATATCCGGCATCGTGAAGATTTGGTCCGAAACCACGTCAATTTTTATCAATCTTGAAAGACGGACTTTTCCTTTCAAGTCTTGGGCCTATTGCCCGCGGTCGGCATGCTTCTCGATTGCGCGTGTCAATGCTCGAATGACTGTCTAGTCGTGCGTTTCATGCAAACTCTTCGCAACGGTAGAGTACAACATGTTCGCAAACTGTGGAAATAGCGAGGTTCTTGATAGTCACGATGCAGCAAACTACGTAAATTATTTTGCCTTGTTCTTTCAAAGATGTTGAAACAGACAGTGTTTTTAGCTTAAAGTGACCGAGGACTAAACCTGACCTCCCCTTTTTAAAAAAACAGGGGGTCGGGCTTCAGCTGATTCAAGTCGTGTGTTGCCAAGAGTGTTGTTCGAAGAGTCTCTCAACAGAGTTTTCATCAAGAGTGTGTGGCGAAGAGTGTCTTCACAAGATCGTCACTTTGAGACTGGTTGACAAAGAATGTCTTTTTTGGTAAGTTTACCCGGTGGGTAGCACGCTACTTTGGATTTTTGCCTTTGTCTTTGGAATCACATTGTCCAGTGCTTTTGCGCCTTGACTCCCAGGATATGCACATCCTCCTTTCACAACTGAGCTACTCAATGACTCTGACTCATTTTACGTCGCAGGGGGCTGGCTTTTTTGCTCGGGGGCTGGCTTTCATCTCCCCCCTTCTCAGGTAAACATAGATAAATACAAAGACGAATACATATACATATACATACATGACATGACATTACATGGACACAGCGTGACAATGCATTAGTACACGCAAAGATACATAGTAACATACATACACATCATACATACATACCGACACACCTAGATACATACATACATTCATACACGCACACAAGTACATGCATACAGACAGACATACATACACACACAGAGACATATGCACGTAAAGACGCGCTTGCATGTTTGCGCGCCCAAACCTTCCTTCCTTCCTTCGTTTGTTTGTTCCTTCGCTCATGTATTCATTCACTTATTCATACGTGGATACGCATATACATACATGCATACATGCATGCAGACGTGTGACGTGACATACACACATAGAGACGTGTGTGCACGTGGATCCCCACATGCGCGTGCCAGTTTGCGAGTTCCCTACCATTGTTTCACCTTCACAGAACGAGGCGGCCACCAATCGTGGTGCCTCCTTATGTGAGCCGCGCAATTGGACGCATGAAGGCCAGCCGGCGGCAAGGTGTTTTGCAAGCGATTGTTCCTGCCATGTTGTACCAGCAGTTCCCAACAAATGAAGCATTCATGTGCATGGGTTTGTGAAAACGCTGGTTTAAAACGGTCTTTACCCATCCTGCAGCGAAGCGGAAGGGCAAACCTCTGATATCGTCGTATGTTTTCAGTGGACTGCGGTGGATGTGGTGGGAAGAGTTGCTTCTTTAAGGTGCATGCTCCGGCCAGCGATGAAATAGCTCCATTGGTGACGGGAGCATGCGGTTTCCTGGGAAGGTGTGGCAGTTCGCGCGTTATTTCGTGTTTGATGCGGATGTGTTTGCTGAAACTTGAAACCTGTGTCCAGATTGAAACACGCAAATCTACAAGAAAACATTCCTTACAGGGACGTTTCCTTTTCTCTTACACACCTTGTTTTTGCGTCCTGCGGTCGACAACTTTTTTGGCACTGCCTTGGCCCACGGCCCATCCACACCTGACAGAGCGGCCCAACCCAATTCATTTTTATCACCTGACAGAGCGCTGGAGCAGAATTCACGTCAATCAGACCTTTGCAAGTTTTGACGCCGGATCCACCGGTAAAAGGGGGAACACCACAAAAATATAGTCCTCCCAAAAACGCATGTCTTTGTTTTGAAGGAATGCGTTTGGTAAGTCCATCGAGCGGGCCAAAGACAACAGGCACGTGGTCGCCGAACTGCTTGGGCGCTGCAGCCGGATCTTTTGCTTGGTACGGGCTAAAGACGCCCAAACCGCACAGCTACGAGTCGAACAGGCTGGGAATCTTAGGAATATTTTCTCGGTCGATGATTTGTTTGAAGAAAACAATATACAGATATGATAATTAATACGGTTGTTTTTTGCGTACAACTCAGTATGCGTCCTTTGCGCCTGCGTGTGGTGACAAGCACCCCATACAGCTGAACCAAGGGATTCTTCGCACTTGGAAACCTAGGCTGCCGAAGAAGGAGCAACGGCAACAAGAAGAGGAGAGGAAGCCGGAACGACAAGAAGGCAGAGGATCGTAGCAAGAGGATCAGGAGGAACGCCACAAAGAGGAGAGTATGATCACTCAAAGCCCACTTCAAGTCAAAACATCTTCCATTTCCCGATCCCCCGAAACAGCGAAGTTGATGCACTTCGAGAGCACAAAAGGAAAGAGCTTCCACGGCGCCACAAAAGGGCAACGCGAAAACAGACTTTGCACACCGTGGGGATGCTCGCCTTCGTTCCCACTGAGCAAATCCGAGGCGCTCCGGAACGTTGGCATCGACAAAGCTGAATTCCAGGAGGCCGACTATGTCTTGAAGGGCGCAAATCACACTCCGATGTGTGCATGTGAGACCATTTTGTGTTATGGCGTTTGTTGCACAACACCTTGGACACGCTACCATTTGGAACCAGTTCAAACACGAAGTGTATGAGTGGCAATGTCAGACGGGAAGCCAGCATTTTGCGTTTCAGACGCACAGCCAAGCGTTTCCCGAGGCTGTCGAGGTGGTGCCAGGTGATTTGTCGCAGCGGAACTTCGGGCGATCTTTTGTGGAGATCCAGCGCTTGGCCGGTCGGGTCCCGGGCCCCGCGGAGAGAGACACGGCGCACAAGGCGTTCGTAAGGGCGGAAGGTTGAAAGATCAAGTGATCGAATGCAGTCTCAGAAGAAGGGTCCATCACGTGATGAAGAAAGCGCACACAGGAGGTGATGTGAAGCTGGTGAAAGAGAGAGTTTTTTGTTGAGGAACCAAGTCATGAACCACCACCGCCCGACAACGCCCGCTCCCAGGTCAACATCTCTTGCGTCACTACCTTCTAATTAGCGTTTTGCCAATGATATGAATGTTAAGGTGTAAGAAAAAACAAGACGTTGAGTTTCTTGCTACCCAGGAAGCGGAAAGAGAGAACAATGACAAACTGGGATATTATATTATAGGAAGCGACTAGGAACAAGTGCATCGCTAGTAGTAACAAGTGCCTTACTAGTAGTAACAATGTTTGCTATTAGGAACAAGTGCCACGCTATTAGTAACAGGTGCCTTACTAGTAGTAACAACGAAGCTATTAGAAACAAGTGCCATACTAGTAGTAACAATGTTTGCTATTAGAAACAAGTGCCACGCTAGTAGTCACAGGTGCCTTACTACTAGGAACAAGAAGCTGCTAGTAGCGGTGCACAGACGTCTCCAAAACTGAGATGAATTGTTTTTTGGCGCTACGAAAGGGGCTGGCATCGCTACGAACGGATTGGCGTCGAGCAAAGGTGGAACGCAAAGGTGGAACGCAACCTGCTTAGAGATGCTCCTAGTAGCGATGCCCTTTGCTACTAGTAGCGAACCTTGTTCCTACCTAGTAGTAAGGCCAGGAGCTCCTAGTAGCTTCCTTGTTACTACTAGTAAGGCTTGCTCCTAGTAGCGATGCACTTGTTCCAAGTAGCTTCTTGTTCCTAGTAGTATGGCAAGGAGCCCCTAGTAGCGTCCTTTGCTCCTATTGGTTATGTATTTTATGTTGGGTCCGGACTTGTCCTTTGTGCCGATCTTTGCATAAAACATAAAACCTTCATCTCGGCTGGACGATTTGACCCTTGCTTGGAGTGGCTGGTGCTGGGCTTTTGTTCAAAGTTACGCTCTTCACCAGTGCTCAGGTTGAAGGCCTGTTCAAGGTCCACGTGTGCACACCTTGCATTTGGGATTTTGATTGATCTTGCCTTCACACCCTGCTGGGGAACTCCAAGCATGTACCTCATGTGCCGGTCCTTAACCACCAGGCTGAAATGGAACATGTCCTCCCAAACTTTGCAAAGATACCTTCTCAAAAAGCAAAGCAGGTCTGAAAAGTGAACGTTTTCCTAGGTGACACTGGGTGGCTTGGGTAGTTGTCCTGAGCGGGGCACACATCAGCCAAACTGTGGAACAAAACCGGTCACTTGCTTAATCGTGCTTAACACATTTTTGGTTTACACGAAGCAAGAAAACTACAACGATCAATAACTACATTAATTGCTTAGACGCATGCAGCATCGTGTTTCAGAGGGTGCGTCCCAGAAGTTCAATAAAATGCATATGTTTGGAAATATGAAGGTTGATTGTGATACTTGTCAGATATGATGTTTGTGATACATAATTTGGTTTTCGATATGATGTTTGGTTTTCGTAAATTTCTTCCAGCCGTTGCAAGGTCGGGTCACTCACGTGATCAACGTTGCAGCCAAAGTGAACCTCACGGAACCGTTCGATATGATGCGGCAGGAGAAGATGTTCCTAATAGCAAACATTGTTACTGGTAGTAAGGCACCTGTTACTACTAGCGTGGCACTTGTTCCTAATAGCGAACATTGTTACTAGAATGGATCACAGCCCCCAGTTTTGAGAGATGGGATGGTCTTTGTACATGATGCATCATGCAATTCTTTGCCAAATCGAACCATTTTGCATGCGTACATATCCAAATATATTTGTATAATCTGGTTGGATAAATGTAAAACTACTACGGGTAGGGCGAACCCAGAGCCTGGTGGGGGAGAGCGGAAAAATGAGGTGGTCCAGAAGGTAGTGAAAAATGAGTGGTTTTTGGTGCGTTGGTGATGCGAGGGATGCAAATTAGCATCGCAATGTGTTCAGGACCGACCAGGTGTGTGAGTCCGGGTACGGGGCAGGAGAGGGGAGACTGAGTGACATTTGCAAGCGCAACAAACAGGGTTATTTGACAGTGAGGTGAGCTGACCAGGTGGCAGGTAGAGGACAGGAGAAGGGGAGACTGAATGCAGGCAGGAAACTTGGGCTGCTTGAAAAGGGCCCGCACCCCTCAGGACCAGTAACCGTAGATGGTGAGATTGGTCAAGTCAAGGCCTTGTGGATATAAGGCGTTATCATGCCGAGCTTCAATGTAAACTTTGCGTATCTTGGCCTTCTGCTTTCCCGTGGCTAACTACAGCACAAGCAAGTGCAGCTTCCACTTCACCCTGTAACAATAATAACGTATTACAGGCCCTTTTCTGGCGAACTTGTAGTTAGCGACCTTGTCCGAGTCAGGACAATGTGGATGCGACGGCGCACTTGCTGGAGTTTTGCTCTTCGGTGCGGCCGAAACCATTTCACCACGTTTCGACTATGGGAGTGTTTACGCCTGGACTCCTTAGACTTCTCCAGTTCATTGATGTGTTCTCATTTCATTTGATGCTGTGTACTCAGGCCAGACATGCTGGACGGGCAGAATTTACTTGTGCTTCAAGACACCAGAGAGAGAATTCTAAACAAGTTTAAATGACTTTTAGAGGGGTCCTTCCTCAAGAGTCCCCGACATACTGAAAAAACTTTGGTTCCGGCTGGCGGAAGCACAGGACCGACATGGCGCTGTAAGGGAGACAGCGCCTTTGGGAGACATTCGTTGCATGCCTCTCTATGGCACTGGGGATCAGGCAGTTTTCACTGCTACAACTTGATTGCAGTGAAAGGGAACAAAAAAAATCGGAAGGAAGGCATGCTCGCTAAACAGGTTGTACAGAAAGGTAAAAAATTGTTTGAAAACGCAGAGAGTTCAGAATTCCAGGCCAATGGGTATCCACAAAGCAAGTGGCTGGCAGAGAAGATGGTTTTCGAGGAGAGCTACATGTTGGGCAATATATATGTCATTTTTTTTTGTTGGACATGTTGTTTGAATTATATTGTTCATTTTGCTCCCGAAGTTGTACGTCTCAGGCTGCAAGGCAGGGTTTGCCTTCCTTCGTCCACCGGCCTGGCCTGATTGGCCGGAGTCTCATTGTTTCAGTCTCAAGCCGAACAGAAGGATTTGATCCAACTGCAAGTTGAGTGTGTTGTTTACAAGAAAGGTCTCAATGTTTTTGTTTTTTGCAAAACGTTGCTTACGTGCAACAATGTTGGGAGTATTTGCAGGAAAAACAACGCTGTCCTTATCACGTGCCAGGGGGTCATTCCAGAACCGGGGCCGCAGCTGAAGATGTGTTTTTTTCATTTCCTCTCCGATGCAGGGACCCAAGACAGCGATACTATACCGATCTATACCGTAGAGCTTTCATAGCGCAGATACGAAACAGTCGATCCCATGTAACATTTGTATATGCCCAGTACTTCTGTCAGAATAAAGTGAGAGCAATTCTCCAGAATTGCAATCACAAGACCTCACTGCATTGCTGCGTCAAATAGTTGCGTCATTGCTCAGCTTCGTGATCGAGTGTGCTTAACTATTCCTCTCGCAACCGCCTGTGCGTTGGTGGGCCCTTCCTAGGTGCTGCGAAGGTCTTTCTGTGTTTAGGGGATGTTTTGGATTTGCTTCTTGCTGTTCGGGTTTGTTCTTGTTTCGATTTCTCCGATTGCTGGTTTTTGTATCATCGAATACATATATGTTGTTTGCTTTTATGCGGCATGTGTTGCTATTCGGTGTTTTCTTTTCAGGTGCTTCAACTTGGCTGCTTACCAGACATGGAAGGTGACAAGTTCAATTTGACTCCGGTAGACTTTGTGGCCAAGGCGACGTTAACTCTGAAACACTAGGAGAGCCACGCGTTGGAGAGTCACGCGGCGTCACGCGTTTTCTTAGGCAATCGTCCAGATTATGTTGGAAGGTCACAGCCTGAGCTGAGAGAGTCAGAGGAGAGGACGAAATGCAAAACGAGAACTGGCTGAGGTGGGACTTCCAGTGGAAGTGTCCTTCACCCTGCCATGCCAGAGTCCAATGGCTTTGACTATTGTTTTTTTCGATAAAACTTAAATGTTTTCCATTCGGTACCGTTGCCCGAGGCCAGACAACTCCATCTCCATACACGACTTGGCAAACATTTTCCAGCTCTTGGGGTGCGAGCAATAAGGGTCATTCTGGGAACATGCTTGCAGCATTTTGCAGCGCTCAGTTTGTATTGGGGGTGCCCACAGGTACCAAAGTAAGACCATGGACTTTGCCTCCTCCTGAGACACGAATTACCTTGTTCGACCTTGTTTGCAGTTATGTGACAAAACTCTTTGCTCGACTTGGACGTGTTTGCTTTGACCGAAGCGACCGAAGCACGTCACTCACGAGTCAAGAGTTTGAACACCACCGCGGCGTGTTTGTGAGACGAGACCGCAAAGCGGGTAGAAAAGTGAGACAGGAAGAGAAAACGAGAGAGAGAGAGAGAGGCACCATGGGGCGTGATGGCATGTGTGACGGCACAAAGGGAGCAGAGCGTTTGCGTAATCGTACAGGTCTGAATCTTACAGGAATAGGTTTGATTGCTCGGCTTGTCTTCTTGCAGATGCAAAACAGTTGTCCGTTTCATGATGCAATTAGCTAGCTAGTGGAACAGCTTCAGCTTGAGTTCTGATGACATCCTGGATTCCCTGGCGCCGCAGTGTCCTGTGGTTCCGCCAGACCGCGTTTCATTTATGGTTTTTTCCCATCGAAGTGCATTGGGAACTAGTACGTTCCGGAGGCACCATTGGCAGCTGAACAATGGGAAGAATTTCGCAATTACTCAGAGTCACAGGAGGTTTTGCCAATCAAACTCGCGCTTGCTAACCCCAACGGCATCTTTAGCGGCAGAACCTACCGGCAAATTACCACGATATTTGTTTGTGCCCATGCCCCGCCAGGACCTGCCAAGAAGTTGGGTTGTGATTACTCTTCGTTTTTTTCTAGCCATCTACAATTCAATGTTGGACATTGGACATTGCTCACCTGACAAACTTTTGGGCTGATTGGAAGCGTTTGATTGCCCGTTTGTACTTCGAGGTTGACTGAGAGAGAGAGAGAGATAGAAAAAAAGACGAAAGAAAGGACAGGAAGTGAGATTAATAAAGAAATAAACAAATAATAAAGGAAAGAAACAAAGAAAGAGAGAGGAAGAGAGATGGGGGTATAAAGAAATAAATGTTCAACAGTTGCCTTTCACCTAGTTGAATGGTGTCAACCAACGGCATGTGTGTATTTACAACATGTTTGTGTTTGCAATCAGGAACAAGAAGCTACTGGTAGCAAAGGGCATCGCTACTAGGAGCAAGAACGCTACTAGTTACTAGGAGCTTGTTCATTTGCCAGCAGGGCCCCGGAGCAGACCCAGGTCTTGTGTTACTGCGCTCCCAGGTGGACTGGCAAAAGAAGATCTTGGCGGAGCCCTTGCGCTTCAAGAGCTGGTCCTTTTGCGCTGCACTAACAGTAGAGGCTTCCGGCATATGTTTTGCATCAACGGCCTTGAACATTTCGAAGTTGACAGACCAAATGTCCATTTTCGTTTGTCTCGAGGGGCATGGCATTGATTCCATGGCCGACAGCACTAGTGGGGCGCACGCCATGCGGGCAGCGCTTGGGGAGGTGCCGCAGTTGCATTATTGAGGATCAACGAAAATAAACGCAAAGATGAAAGATGAATCTAAAAAGCAAGATATGGTGGGACACTTTTTTTGTGAGACATTTCCCTCCAGTTGGCGCAAGACTTGCCAAGGATGCATATTGCAGTTTCAATGCCAAATCAAATTTGAAGCAGCAAATCAGATGGTATATTGCACAAGGCGGACACAAAACACAATGTGATGCAGAATTTGCTGATTGGAAGTTCCTGAAATGACTGTTCGGCAGGTTTGCTACCACCACCTGGAGCATTGTGAGCCATTGAGTGAAATTATTGAAAGAGCTAATGTGGGAGTGCCAAGCGTTCCAAGTGCAGGTCTGCAAGGTCAAGCCTTGGCAAGGCAGTTGCATGAAGGAACGAACGTTCTATTTTTCAGGAGCAATCGATTCTATCCGAAAATCGGACAGATTCCTTGGCTATTTTTGCGATTTGAACAGATTTGGGATTTCGCTTTGATTGCTCCTATTTTTGGACGGCAAGGTCGATTGGACCGCACCGCGAGACGAAGAGAACACGAAGAGAGAACGAGCTTTTTTGTGCAAAAAAAAGAGCTCAGCTCCGCCTGGCAAAAGTTGCACACGAATGACCTTGCCATGTGACATTTTGTGACACACGGCCGATTCAATGACCGTCATCCGTCGGATGTCTTGGGATTGTGGGAACTGAAGAGTGTTCTGAGTCAAAAAAAAGTGCATTGCAAAGGAAACATGAGTTTCATGAGTTTAATGCGATTCCAACAGTACAAATCAATAGGAGGGAACATGAGACCCAGTCAATCATTTGCACTGCATCCGGCGAACGAATCAAGTCCAGGAAATTCTTCAATAGAGAGCATTCAAGGTGCATTTCTCCGCGCCCCTCATATTTCAAAGCAGGTTTTGGTGTTCATAGGGTGAGACTAGCAGGCAACAAGAGGAAAGGTTTGTTGGGTGGAATCAACATCAAAATCCATGCGTTCATGAGTTTTTTTTAAGTTTTGCTGCTCCAAGTTCCGCAGAGCACCTATCACATCGGAAGTGCCCGTGCGAATATCCGCCAAGTCCGCTTAAGTCCGCCATATTGAACAAGACTCTCTCAAAAGCTAGTCACGCTTCTGATTAGCTGTCGGCACCTGTCGAGACATCGCTAGGGCTCGTCAGAATGCAAAGGTTGGGGTCGTGTCGGGACCGTGCGAGGTTGCCGAGAGGCGGACCAAAACCGCAGGCGGCACCCGTAGACTCGTAGACCGGCCCAACGCAACCGCACAGCGGTACACCTGGGAGCTGCGAAAACTGCGTGAAGACTGCGAAAGCATGAAAACGTATACTAGTAGCTTCTTGTTACTACTAGTAAGGCACCTGTTCCTAGTAGCGTGGCACTTGTTCCTAGTAGCTTATTGTTTCTATACATAATATAAAAACTGCATACAATCCACGTTTTTATACGCACGGCATCAATTGTAGTTCAAGACTGAGATGCACCATCGTAAGCACTTTAGTCACTTTAGTCTTTTCTCAGGTTTGTTCTTTTTGTGTATTGCTCACCGGTGGTTGTTGCTGTTGCTGTTGCTGCTGCTGCTGTTGTTGTTGCTGTTGTTGTTGTTGTTGTTCCGACTGGCTTGAGTTTGTGGCATCCAATAGGTTTCGTGCACCTATCCAACATCCAACAACCTGTCATTGCTTTGTGGCTTTGTGCTACTTGTCTTGCCGACAGCAAGTTTGCATGGTTTGTGACGTGGCCATTTTTGACCATTTGATCTAGAGTTCGCGCCGGTTGTCCACATTGCGCGAGGAAAGAGTCTGAGGCAGAGAAAAGAAATGGATAGGGCCGGTAGGGTACTATTTCGTCAAAATCTCATTTAATCAAATCAATTTCATCAAATTCTGAATTCTCAGTCGGCCTTGATGTGGTTTCTCGGCCTTGTCGCTTTGCAGCTGGTCAGTGCTGCGAAGGACTTGCGGTGTTGCCGGGTTCGGTCTTGGGCAACGACATTTCTCGAACATGTCAAAGGCGGTGGCATGTGTTCCTCAAATTCGGAGTTCACCCTCGGGAGGCAGAACAGCACAGGAAAGTGCCACGCTAGTAGTAACAAGTGCCTTACTAGTAGTAACTAGAAGCTATTAGAAACAAGTAAGGAGATTTCATCATATTCAGGTTCCATTGCATTACATTCAGGTTCCATCATATTGTATAAATTGGATGAATGGATGTTGATTTCATTTTGATTGCATAGCTCATATACCCTCACATGCCAACATTGCCCACCCTTCATTTGCCAGCGCCTTTTGTCTGCGACACAGGTTCGAGAGTCGGTTGCATGATCCACAAGTTGAACAACACAGCTAGAACCCGTCGTGGATTCGCTCCATTTGCTGCCAACCTGATGTCAAGAATTGACCCAAAAGAACCTGACTGACACTAACAAACTTAGAAACAATCTCATGACTCAAGACTCTCATCTTGAAAAACAAAACAAGGCAAGAAACGATTTCCGCTCAGCTGGGACCTTTGCCCAAAATCTTCGCTTCCTGTTGTCGTAGTTCGGCCGCCGACGAGCTGTATGGCCAGACCCACTAGCAGGCGCAGGATGACTAAGGGCAAGCGAATGCTTAAACTCGGCAACCGATTCGCAAGTGGCCTCAACCTGGCGAGGAGGCTCACTCTTTCTTTGATTTGCAGCCAAGCTCTTCAAATACTCTGATTTAGCCGAAGGGATCTCACCGGAGGCTGAAGCGGAAGGTGCAACTGAAGTGGATGCAGCTTTCTGATCCTTCAAGGATTTGAAAAACCTTAGAATGAGAGTGATGCACCAATACACCCATTATGTGAACAGCCGTGGCAATCACTAGCTGTTTTGCAATCTAGGAGCGCAATCCGAGCTTCCATAGCTCAATGTCTTAAACATTGAGCCGTAGATGGCTCAGGGAAAGCGTTCACATTCACAGCACCCACCTACCAAGCACCTTTCAAGACATTTCAGGACCTGAACAAAACGAAATTGGACCTGAACATCACGAAATGCCCTTAAGTGCCTTACTACTAGGAACAATAAGAATTTAATTAGAACTACCAGCTAATATTGGTATTTGTCGTGTCAAATCGCAAGCTCAACAAGCTCACCTCGCCCTTCAGGATTGCGCCAGTCGACAAGGCGGAGCCTTCATCACGCTCCAAATTGGTGGCTCTGCAGCTCAACGAAGTTCCCAATGGCTAGAGGAGATTTGATTCATTTTGCTCATGATTCAGCTTGGTCTTGTCACGCAACTCATTACTTATGCCTTATATACAGGATGTATCTATATATGTATATTCTACAATAATGGTTCCATGCAGTCACAACAATGAGTAAAGAAATGACACCTGAATCCAAAAACAAAAAGCCCTATGTAGAATTCAGGAAGAAGACTGACGCCACAAGCCAAAAACACATCCAAAATAATGTGTCAAAGCCAAAACAAGTCCAGAAGAATTGAAATTCAAAGATGGATTTGTTCAGGTCTTCATGCGAATATATGTTGTCCCTGGCCCGAGCTTGTTACGTGAGTAGTGTGTCCTTCCGATTGCAAAAACCTTCTAGGACGATGCTTTCATTGAAGGGGCTATTCGCCATGCTCGGCGAAGCCTTCGTGGAGGAAGCAGACGAAACTGAAACAGTGGCAAAGAGAGGGCCACCCGTTCGGACACCATGCGACAAATCACGTTTGGGTGCAAAAAAGGTTGGACAGATGGTTAAGCAAGAAATGTTTTTTTTCAATTCCGAATCAACGACGCTGTTTTTCGGCAAATTAAGCCGCTGGTTTTCCTGATCCTCATGCTCACCCCCTCTCTTCCTCATGCTCTCATACCTTCCATTCTTCTCATTTTCAGCTTAAGGGCCTTCCCCGCTAGCACCAATCCTTGCACCGTCCACTCAAGTTTCTTGATGTTCTGTTCTGTTTGCTTTTTTGTTTTGCTTTGCATTTCACATCTTGTTCAAGTCAATTCGTCAAGAACACTTCAACTTGAGAGGCGCGGGAATCCCTGTTTTCAACCGTGTCTTGAACGGGACAGATTGCGATGAGAATTGGTCTTGGCACGCTCCCTGACTGCAGTTTGCTGCTAGCTCTTAAGGGGTCACATGTTCGATTGTGATTGAATTATTGAATTAATAGATTCGAAAAAGAAAGAATGGAAGGGACCAAGACCCTTCAAGGAGGACCTCAGGCCCAATTCTTTGGATAGCTCAATGCGAAGCATTGCGTATGTTGTGGTCTGAGGTGGATCCTAAAGATGTAACTTGGACAGAGGCGGCTGTTGGTTATCATTGTGATGCTGCGCGCGCGAAGCATGGTTACACTGACGCCACAGCTCTTTAACAGGTCTACGCAAGGGTGACTTGAATAAGACCAAGTTACTCTGTCTACCAAATTCTAATTAAATTTATAGATTAGTTGTTATTCTAATTGAATTCTTGTTTCTAGTAGCGAACATTGCTACTGGTAGAAAGGCCAGGAGCCCCTAGTAGCAACATTGCTCCTAGTAGCGTCTTTTCGTCTTCAGATTGGATCTTCCGTTCAGAGTCGGGCCTCAGGTGGCAACGGAAGTGTGTGACGCTACACCCGGATACATCGAGAAAAATGCAAAAGAGTGGATGTCTTCACCGGGGAGGTGTGCAAAGTCGTCAAAAGAGTCGTTGTTTTTGGAGAAGAGTCTCTTCAGTTTAGGTCGAAAAGTCGACTTCATATCCTAGATTAGTCTATTGGAAGCCTTTGGATGTGCTTCTTGCTTCCTGATCATTCTATATTCGTCCAATCTTCATGTTCTTTGGCGTTGGTGTCCTCATGGATCCTTGTGGTTGTCCTTCCATTTTCCTTTTTTGTACATGTTTTGTTTTTGCTTAGGTGGTGTCCGTGGACCACGTATGTGCTGAGCGTCGAGGACCGTCGCGGCTTGAAACCTGAGTTCATTGGCAAACCGTGACCGTGTGCACTAGCAGTCGCTAACACTGAGACCGCAAAGCATTTTGGATGCCACCGTTTTGTTTCCGTGCTTTGATAAACACTTCGCCTTTGCGGTTGTCACGGTCGTTTGTCATTGGGAACGAGACCTGGCAGATGCAGTCCAAGTCTTTTTTATGTATCACCTTTTGTGATCGCACAGAGCTCTTGGCGATGAAGCAGTTGACCAAGAGCAGTATCGAATGCAACGCGCTGCCACCAAGAGCATGCGCAATTTGCTCGCAGGATGATTTGTGTACAGGGTAAGACAGGAATCTGAGGCTGCTTGCCGCTTGTTTAT